TTGTCTGGGAACAATTGCTGTTAGCAGTACATTTACAATCCTGTCACCCCGGCACTACTCTTCGGTTTGTGCTTGTATCAGTCCGTGCTTACTGGAACTTACATAAATATATAAGGATTTGCAAGGTAGGCTTACAACGGCCGCCTTTAGAATCAGGGGGAGAGTGCAGAGGGGCTGTCTGCACGCCAGCGAGCTGAAGGGTCCAGTCAAAGGTTGAAGGCCTGGAGCTAGGAGAAGGATGTACAAGGTGAAGACCGGAGCTCCTCCAAAGAAGCAGAAGTAAGACTTCCTTCTTTGAGCAGCCCATTTGGGACCCTTCCTGTCTCTCAGGAATTATTTCTATTCCCCATTCCCCATTCCTGTTCTCCAGTAAATTTTCTTACTCAAAAAAAAAAGACCTTCTTTTTTTTCCTTTTATTTGGGTCAGGCCACATGCCTAAGGTTGGTGCCACTCACACCCAGGGTGGGTCCTCCCTTTTCAGTAAGTCCACTCAGCCACACCCAGAACTAGCTGATCCAATCAGTTGGACTTTTTTAAGTTGACACAATGGTTAACTATCACAGTTGCCCCGAATGCAACTTCCTGTGAACCTCAGTAACTGCAGCTGCTTTTCACTTGCCATTTGGAGCGTAGGCTTGTGACTCTCTGCTTGTCTACTTGAGGGGCTAAGGCAAAAGTCTGAGGACAGTGGGTGGTATATACAGTGAAACCCTCTATAAGGAGGAGGAGGAGGAAGAGGAAAACCAGGAGGAGGAGGGGAAGACATGGAGCAAACAGGGTCTGGTTGTGAGCGGTACCTCAGTGCCAAGGATGCATACCACATCAGGAAAGGGGAACAATAGAAACAGGGAGCCACAGGAATTTTCTGGCCTCCTTATTCCCACCCAATGATAAGCCGAGAAAATATAAGAACAGAGTATATGGAGGCCGGGAATGTAGCTCAGTGGTATAGCACTGCTCAGCACACCCAGGCCCTGGGCTACATCCCCAGAACTAAAGCAAAGCAAAATAGAGGAGAATTGAGAAGAGGAGGCCGGGAATATAGCTCAGTGGTACAGCACTTGCCTGGCAAGTGCACAGTTCCTGACATAAAAAAAAAAAAAAAGAGAAAGAAAGAAAAAAAAGAAGAGGGGCACAAAACTCAAGAGCATAGGGTGATGTTTTTCCTCCTCTGAATTTCTTTGTAATTCATTATTTGGACCAGAAACTTGGCCTGTAAAATATATTTTGGGCTGGCCAGATAGCTTAGGGGATTAAAGTACCTGCTTAGGCAGATGCAGGGACCAGAGTTTGATCCCTGGCATGCTGTGTTGGTGCCTGCCCCCAAGAGTGCTCAGATGGTGATTGAGACTGGACGTGGTGGTGCGTGGCTGTAATCCTAGCACTTGGGAGGCTGAAAACAGGAGGATCGCTATGAGTCTGAGCTGTGTAGTGAGACCCTGTAGACACTCTACAAAATACATAAAAATTTTTAAAAAATATCTAATTTTGCTGCATATGGTAATGCATGCTTCTAATCCCAGCTGCTTGGGCAGCAGAGGCAGGAGGACCGGAAGTTGGAGGTCAGTCTGGACAACTATTTGGTAGCATGACTGTCTTAAAATTTTAAAATTAAGATCCAGGGGTCTGGAGATGAGGCTCAGTGGCAGAATGTGCCATGTTTAATTCTCATTACTAAAAAGAAAGTCTGATTCTTTCTGTGTGAATATCTTTCATCCTCAAGCAAAGAGCACATTTCTTATGTTGTATCTTTACCAGTTACTTTGAGCATTTAGTTGAATGAACCAACTGCAAGGGTTACCTTAGGAGGGCTGGTCTCGATGACAACCATGGTGGGGCTACCACCTAGGTCCACGACAAAGTGCTGTAGATGACTCTGCCTAATACCCAGTTGTGTGGCTTCCTGTGAAAGACTGATTGAAAGACTGTCACTTCCTATGTGACAGCCGTACTTGCACATGCTCACAGCCCCTGTGTTGGACTTTGGAAAGAAGGCTTTGTAGAGTCCCCAAAACTGTGGCTTGGAATGTTGCAGACTTCTCAAAGGCATCTACTAAATAGTTATCTTTTGGATCTACTTTCTGCTGGAGAACTCTTCTGAAAGTTCTGGGACACCTTTGCTGAGTGCTACTCTCATCTTCAAAACTTACTACTACTACATTGTGCTATGAATCAAGAACACAAAGTTCCCACTTTCAAAGCCTTTGAGAGAAACTGAGAAACAAGACTCATATTTAAAGTTAAGTGTCGAATGGGAGAGAAAGGACAAGTTCTACTATATTTCCAGGAGGAAGGCATCGTTGGGGGCTGGGCTGACCCAAGAAAGCTTTCTTTTTCTTTTTGTGCTCACTGGGACTGAAACCCAGACCTTGTGCATGCTAGGCAAATGTTCTAACACCGAGCCACATCCCTAGCCTTTTTTATTTTTTATTTTGGGTCTAAGTTGTCCAGTGGTATCAAACTGTCTCAGCCTCAGTAGCTGGAACTATGGTGTGGAGCCCTACACTCTGTTCAAGAAAGCTTGCTAAACTCTGAAATGTACCTTGGAGAAAGGGTTAAACTTGATTAATGAAACAAGAAAATGTGGGAATGTGGCTCAGTGAAAAAGGGCTTACCTAGTTTGGGTGAGGCTCTGGGTTCAAACCCCATTACCATTTTAAAAAATACTCAGAGCAGCCGGGGAGATGGCTCAATGGAATGAGCGCTTCCCTGGCAAGTGCAAGGGCCTGAGTTCAATCCCCAGTTCCACAAAAATACTCAGAGCAAAGCATGCTGGACTACAGTGAATAATGCTCACCTTAGTTGAGGTAGGTTTCATAAGGTTATATAAAGATAGGATATATTTTGGAAGTCCTTGAATTTGGATTCTGGTTTGTATTTCTTTATTTCTTTGGTACCAGGGATTGAACTCAGGATCTTCAGCTCACCAGGCAGGCACTTAAGCCACTGAGCTATCTCCCCCGTCCTTCTGGTTTGTATGCAATTTAATTGATTTCTTTTTCTGTCACTGGGATTGAACCTAGCGCTTTTTGCATGGAGCTGCTTCCTTGTTTTTTAATTTTTTAAATTTTGAAACAAGGTCTGCTAGGCTCAAACTTGTAAGTATTCTGCCTTATACAGTCTGCATTTTAGCCAGTAAGCACTGGGGAGCCATTAAGTATTTCTGAGTCAGTATATGGACACATAATAGGGTTTTTATCGAGCCCATCTGGAGATAGAGGAGATGGTGGCAGGGCTAGGGTAGGAGAAGCAGCGCATTAGGGAGGCTATTAGGAAACATTGTAAATAGTCCAGTTGAGGCTACTGGATGTGAACCGCCAACCAAGGTGGATAAGAGAGAAGGAAAACATAGTATTGGATGTTGGGGACTGCCACCTTTCCAATATTTGTGTGATATACTGTACACTTGATTTGAAAATGTCCAGGGACACTTTTGATCTTCCAGTTTCTCCATAGTCTTCTGACCCTTTTCTCCAGGCAAGAATGGAAAAGAAAATGATATTATCGGGGCCGGGAAGATAGCTCAGTAGAATAAGCACTTGCCTGGCAAGTGCAAGGGCCTGAGTTCAATCCCCCATACCACAAAAAAAAAAAAAAAAAAAAAAAAGAAAGAAAAAGAAAATGAAATTATTACCCAAGTGACCTTGCTTTGGACTTCAGTGATCTAATTCAGCCACATAGTAATGCTTTACTTCCTGAAGGTGAGAACAGGAATGCAGACTATAGATATAAAATGTGGGGTTGGCCAAGCAGCTCATCGGATTGAAGAGCCTGCAGGTGCAGGGGCTGGGCCCATGGGGGTGCGCCCCCGGGGCATGATGAGCCCTCAGTTGAGACTGGGTGTGGTGTGCCCCTGTAATCCCAGCTCTTGGGAGGCTGTAAACAGGCGGAACACTGAGTCTGATCTAGTAGTGTGACCCTGAACACCCTGTAGACCCTTCCCTAAAATACAATAAAGAAATAATGTGACAGTCTTCTCAACTCTTAGCCCCCCATTGAACCCAGAACCTCCTTCAGGGTTGCAGCAGGTGCCTTACCACTGAGCACCCCCCCCCCCGTCCTCTTTTTGGTTTTTAATTCTTCAGACCCTTCCAACATCTATCTATCCTTTCCAAAGGCTCCTGCACTTTGAAATGGGGGAAACCTATCTGTTGGAATGCCAGGGGCAGTAAGACTTCTTCCCCAGGGCCTCTAAGTACGAGGCTGAGGCAGGCAGGAAGATCTTCAAGCTTATCTGAAAGACAGCTACTGCTAAACTAAATGTTCATTGCTTCTCAACTCATATCTATCTGGATTCCCCAAGCAGGGAAGTAGTAAGGGAAAAAAAAAGCCCTTAAGCCACAGTCACAGGAAATCACCTAAACAATTCCCCCCCTGCCGGCCTCCGTTCTACTTTTCTGCTTGGGAGAAACCCTCGCAGGCGCCTGGATGCCTGGTGCCTCAGTTTCCCTCGGTCAGAATCCAGATCGCGACTTGTCTCCTTTCTCATTGCCCATCCCGTTCGCGTGGATGCGGGTGTCCTGTTGTCTCGCCTCTCCTCGCCGCGCGGGTAGGGCCGGGCGGGCTCTTCTCCCGGGTGCTTCTCGGGGGCGGAGCCCACCTGTGCGGGGGCGGGGCCTGGGCGGAGGCGGGACAGGTGGGGCGCGGCCGGCGCGAGCCAGAGCGGGCGAGTGGAAAGGCTGGCGGGAGGGCGGGCCCTCGGGAAGCTTCCCTGGGCGGGCGGCTGGGCGAGAGCGAGAGCGAGCGCGCGAGGGGCGGAGGAGGCGGCCGGCCTGCGAGAGGAGCGGCGCGGAGCACGCTCGGGCAGAGCAGACCTGCGCGGCGCGCGCAGCCAGCGGGAGACCCCGCGCGGAGCATGAGCCGGCACCCCGCGG